AGATCAGCGGAGGGGCTGCCCAGGATCCTGTTGCACACGGATGCAGCGCAGATGATTGGCAAGGGGCGCGTGGATGTGCAGGAGCTGGGGGTGGACTACCTCACCATCGTGGGACACAAGGTATGGCCCTCTTCACGTGGCCCAGCTGCTGTTTGCTCTCTAAGACATCTCTATTGGGGTGCCAGAGAGACTTGGAGTGCCCCTCATAGCTTGATATCTCATCAGTGGCCAAAGTTTTCCTGCTGGATGGTGCCCTGAACACAATCTTCAGCTGGGTGACAAGGCTCCTGCAAGTCAGGGGGACCTGTCTGCAAAGGGGAGCAGGAGGAGGCCAAGGGCAGGGGACAGCTCTGCAGCGGCCTGTGGATGTGAGACAGGCAGGGGTTAGCACTGGAGGGCACTCGGATTGGGGCAGGAGTACAGGAAAGGGACACCTGGCAGTGTCCCCGAGGTCACTGTGGCTGTTTCTCCTTGCAGTTCTACGGCCCACGGATTGGTGCGCTGTACGTGCGCGGCCCCGGCACCACCACCCCGCTGCACCCCATGCTCTTTGGAGGGGGGCAGGAGAGGAGTTTCCGGCCAGGGTAAGGTGGCTAGGTGGTGGCCTGGAGAGCTGGGCCTCGGGCTGGTGGCCAAACCACGCATGGCTACTTAGTCCGAGCTGAGCTGGCAGCTGTGTCACCTGCCAGCCCCGGGGTGGGCAGCCCTGCGCCGGGAGATGGATCCATGCATGGGAACTGCGGGAGCCTGGTGTGCAGGCTTTGCCGCAGGAGGAACCACAGGGTAGAACCGTCCCCTTCCCAGCCACCTCAGAGAGGTGTTCAGGATCCCCTGGCAGTGGTGAGGGGTCCCATGTGGGGAATGTCTGTGCCCTGAGGTTGGGTGTCTGGTCCAGAGAAATAACTCACTGCTCCCTCTTCCCTTCCAGCACCGAGAACACCCCAATGATCGCCGGCCTCGGCCAGGTGAGTCAGTGATGGTCACGGGTGAATAGTTCCCTAGGGGTGCTGCCTGACAGAGCCAGCACGGAGACAGCCACTTCATTAGAAGTAACAAACTCAGGGTGCGGGAGGGTGGGCGAACTACTGGGAAAGGAGATGGGGCTTTCTGGTGCTGGTCAAAAGAGGTGCTTCGGAGCACTTGCTGCAGGCTTTGCAGGCCTGGCAGTGGGCAGTCACACAGCTCATGTGCTGCAAGGCACCGAGAGGCTGTTGGGGGATGCAGGGGACCTGGCAATTGCAGAGACTGTTCCCGGGCTGGACTCCCATGCTAGGGGGCCGTGCACGGAGGGAGGTGTTGGGGGGTCGCTAATGGAGCCTCTTTGGGTTTTCTCTCCTCAGGCTGCAGAGTTAGTGAGCAAGAACTGGGAGGCCTACGAGGCTCATATGCGGGATGTTCGGGATTACCTGGAGGCCAGGCTGGAGGTGAGCAGACCTAGTTCCTGTTTGTATCTCCCCTCCCGGGGTCTCAGCCTGCAGAGTGCGGGGCCTGGAGCCAGGGTGGGTATGTCCCTCTGGCCCTGCCACCTCCTCATCAGGACAGAGCTGCTCATGATCCCAGAGCAGTTCACAGCCCTCTGATTTCTCCAGGCCTCCTTTGGGAAGCAGAGGATCCACTTCAACAGCCACTTTATGGGCTCCAAGCGACTCTGCAACACCTCAAATTTCTCCATCCTTGGCCCAGGCCTTCAAGGTAGCTCTCACCCCACCGCTGTCCCATGATGGTGCTCATGGAGCCAAGCATCTGCCCTGCACAGCACCCTGCGGCTGGAGACCGGTGGGCGCTTGGCCGTGGCTTGGGCAGGGAGATGAGGCATGCAGCAGCCCTCAGAGACAGCCTGGGCGCTGGGAGACCTACGCTTGTGTGTGCTGCAGGGCGAAGGGTGCTGTCCCACTGCAAGATGCTTCTCGCCAGCGTTGGGGCTGCCTGCCACTCTGAGAAAGGGGATCGGTAAGGAGCCAGCTTTGCCAGGGCCAGGGTGTCTTTCCAGAGGAGAGTGTGTGAGAGGGAGGGAGGGAAATAGGACAGGGAATGGGACCGTGAGTGGCTGTGGGCAGCGTCACCTGGAGCAAAGAGGGTGCAGAGCTTTCCAGAGGGGCTGAAGGGCTGCGAAGGAGGTTATTGCAGGAGACACGGCTGAAATGCTTGACTGCTGCTTGGAAGGACTTTGTCCCTCCTGGCTTTGGTGATCCAGCTGAGCTTGGAGGTACTCTTCAATGCCTGGCACTGCCAGAAGAGAGTCTGCCTTACGTCCGTGTGTGCTTGGCTCACCTGCTGAAGCCCAATTTGGGTATCCAGTGGGCTCCTTCAGGGGTGTGTGGGGACAGCAGGTGCTTTTGGCCTGGTTTAGACCAATGCCCTGTAGACATGGCAGAACTGCCAACCCATGGGGACACGGGAGAGATTCTTCCTTGGAGGGGAACAGCCAGATCCACCATAGGGCAACAAGCCTAGTGGGAGTGGGTGCCTTTGGAAAGTGAGCAGGGTGCTGTGCACGAGACAGGTTTTTCTGGAGTGCATCTGCAGATGTGCTGCCTCTTATGGCTTGGTGAAGCTTTCTGGTGATGGCTGTGCTTCCTCGGCCTTTGAGTTAAACCCACTCACCCCTGTGTTTGTTTCAGGCCCTCCTCGATTCTGCTCAGCTGTGGGATCCCCTATGACGTGGCGCAGAACGCCTTGCGGCTGAGCGTGGGGCGAGATACCACCCGGGCAGACGTGGACCTGGTTGTGCAGGACCTCCTGCAGGCTGTGGCACAGCTGGACCAGGACCAAGCACTGTAGACCCTGGGAATTGCTCTGCGGCCATCACCCAGGTTCTCGGGATGGGATCGTGCCCCTGTTTGGCCCTGGGTGCTGGCTGCCTGTGTCAGTTTGGGTTCAGGTTTTGGCAGGATTAGTTTTGTGCCTGATGCCTAAGGTGAACTGACCCAGCTTGCAGTTTGTGATCATGGATCAGACATTGGGGAAGTGGCGGCTGGTGGTGGCAGGAGGAGGAAGTGGGATCACAGGTTTCGGCAGCAATGTGCTCTTCGCTCTGCTTAGACGTATATCAGCTCACGCTCACAGGGATCACGGTGGGGCTGGCATGGCTCTGCAGCACGTGCGGCTCGAGCAGAGAAGGTAGTGCAGGTACTGGAGGCAGCAGGGAAGCTGTGCCGAGGAGGGGGCTTTGCTGCTTTGGGGCTGGGGCAGCTCATCAAGAACTTGCTCAGGACTCTGTCATTCCCACTGCACAGTGCAGGCGTTCTGGGAGTCTCCCTGTCAGGTACTCCTTGCTTGCCAGCACATACCCAGCTGGCTGCATGCATGTTGGCATGATGGAGTCTCAAAGCTCGACTCCCTGCAGAGCGTAACAGGCATGGAAGCCATAGGAGATGGAGCCTTTTGCCCTGGTTGCTTTCCACAAAGGAAGCTTTCCCGCTGTCTTATCACAGAGGAGGAAAGACCATCTGCCCCAGAGGGAAACAAGGAGTTGATAGAAGAACAGCAAGATTCTGGGCTGGGAACTGGCCTGCCCCGGCCAGGGCCCTAAGCTACCAAAGGGTTTTTTGGCTGGGAAGGTGCGGGGCATGGCTTTCCCTGCACTGCATGGCATTACCTGCTCCCCTTCCTCCTGTCCTTCCTACAGTGGGCAGAGCTCCTCTTGCCGACTCCATGTGCTCCTAAAGGAAACAGAGCTGTCGGGGCAGCCGTAACTGTGCCAGCACCCGAGGAAACATTTCTTCCCTGCGTGGCCCAGGTGGTCGCTCTCATCACTGACACAGGAGGACACCAGCATCACACGGATTAGGAGCGTTGCCGACTGGGCTGACTGATGTTGGGGAACCTGGTCTCCCTGGATGTTCATAGGAATAAAAGTGATTGCTGCTGCTGTGGCTTTTTCCCCAAGTAAAATGTATTTTCTGTGGTGTTTTACACGGGGGAAGCTGGACTGGTTGGGGTCATCTGAGCAATGCCTTTTCCCTCAGAAAATGCTCGTGTCCCAGAACAGAGGCACAGTCCGCTGGAGCGGGGAGGTGCCTGCTGGTCCTGGTTGGCAGGGAGCCCATGGACACAGATTCTTAGACACTGGTCTTTCTCTTTACTAGCCATACCTTAGCGCGGCCAGGAATACTATTTGGAACCATAAAACCCTGGGGCTTTTTGTAAATCTAATTTCGAACTGAAGTGTTAGGACCCAAGCACACTGACTTAAAGTCACTGGATACCGGTCAGGCTGTTCAGTGTTACCGCTGCTGCTCACACCTCAATCTCAAATGCCATCTTTTCTTTTTCCTTTTTTTCTCCCTTGCATAATAGTCAAAACCTCTTTTAGAAAAAGCAGTTCCACAGAAAGAATATTGCTCTGTTTCAGGGGTAGATCTTTTATCTATCCGGGACCTTATAGTTCTTGGGGACCTTTCTTTCACAGCTGTGGCACAACTGGAGATCCAGGTTTTGGGGTGCTCTTTCCCCCACAGGAGGTCTGGGCTTCCTGCATTGATTCGGACAGAAATTTAAGCACAGAGCACAAAAAGCTTTACTGAGTTATTCTTTATACACACAGGAAAAGCAAGTTTTAACCACAGAAATATTAGCATTACTTCATTTAGCCAAAGCATAAGTGTTACAGAGGACATGAATACTCTGGTTGACCATTTAAATGGTTTTACTGTTAATTTTCCTACTACCACACTGCACAGGAATGAGAGTCACTAGCAAATTCCTCTGTCTCTGTATTGCCTTATCTAGGGAAGGTGAGGAAGAACATGCCTATGACTTGGCCTGCACTTCTGTCGGGCAGGCTGTGCTTCCGCTCACGCACCCTACGTGCTGGAGACAAGTAGCCTTTTCTCGTATGACACAAGGTCAGTGGTTGTACGCACTAGAACAAATTCACCTGTCGTGGAAGTCTGGAAATACCAACATTGCTACATCAGCTGTGAATTTAAACAGTAAAGAGAGGACCTGGCCACTACGCTAGAACACCACAGAGTTGAAATATGTTACTTTCACGTGGTCACATAGCCAGAATTGGATGGCAAAACCACAATTCATTTAATGGAAGAATCCACAATCTCCTGATAATCTTGTCTTCCTAAATTCTTCCAGGACAGTTTATAACATGCAAGGAAAAAAACACTAACCAAAATAACCGCTCCCCCAACAAGATCATAAGCACCTGGGAAGATCCGCAGCACGACAAGCTGCAGGACCATGGCGATGACGATCTCCAGGTGCTGCACGGTGCTGACCAAGGCGGGGTGGAACTTGCTCAGGGCGTAGTAGACCCCCAGGAAGGCTGCTGTGGAGCACAGGCAGATGGCAAGGAGATAGCTCCAGGTTTCTCCATCCAGTGGGACGATTGGCTCTTGAAGTAAGAACATGGTGGATGCTCCCCACACTGTTCCCGTCCAACTAAAGGTGAATAGTGCCATCCACATGCTGATGTTATCTTTGATTGACCGATAGACTATCATGGAGAGAGCAGTGGTCAAACCTGCCATAACGGTCATGGTATAGCCAAAAGCTTCCTTCCAGGTGCTCAGCAAAGAGTTTTCCTCCTTAACAATGTTGGGGATCATGACCAGACAAACGCCAAACACGCTGCCAACTACAGTAATTATGTCTATGTAAGCCATTCCCTCATCTATGAGTAAAAAAGCCAAAATGGCACTGAACACTGTGGTGGTAGCCCTCCACATAATGGTCCCATTGCTGGGGGGAACTATAGAGAAGGAGGTATAAGCACAGGTAATAGAGATAACATTGCAGACCCCATAGAAGAAGAGCCGGAGCCTGTAGCCTTTGGGGCCAAAGGGAGGCTCATGGTAATAACACACAACAGTAATGGACAGCACCTGTAAGACTGAACGGATGAAAATTAACTCTAGGGATGGCACTTTGGAACGATCAGAAATTAATCTTGTAATTAGAGCCACACATCCGTGAGCCACGGCAGATCCAAAAAGGACTACCCACGTTTTCCTCGACTGCAGTGTATTTCCTTCAGGAAAATGCTGGGATTGCCCGATCTCATCGGGTTTTGGCAGTTGTGCTGGCTGAAGCTTGGTGTCTATTGTACCAAAATAGGTCCTTTCTCTCTTTTTCCCATCATTCAGCAGTCTTTTCTTAGGATTATCCTCCATAAATACTCCAGTATCTTCATTAACATCCTCATATCCCTCTTCTCCTGGCTGGGGATAGTGAGAAGTGTATTTCACTGTTACTGTGTTGGGATGAATTTTCACTCGCTTTTTGACTGGGTATTTTTGGGAAGACACATCCATTTCTTCAGAGAAATGTCCTGGTCTTAAGAAGAACATGGAGAAGCAGTGTTATTTTTGTTTAATCAATAGTGAGAGATTCATTAGTATGTGAACGCTGTTAGTGTTTACAAGCTATTTTTATCAACCAAGTCCAAGTACTAGTAGATTGTTCTTCGTTTTGCTTTAATTTTCTGGTGAGTTACTGCTAAATACCGTTGATAGTCAGGCCATTTGGATCTCCTTAAAAGCCAACCGTGGAACTTAATTTTAGTCACTAGTTTTTGAAAATGACATATATTCTCATTATGTATGGTGCATATAATGCATTCTAGTATATTCTTATTCTAATGAGAAAGTTCTCTTGCTAAGCTTTTTGCACAATAAATACCCTGTAATTATGAATTACACTTATTGTTAATTGCTTGCTAATGTTATAAGGTTATGGAAGAAATTTGGCTGGAGGAGATGATTGCCTTGTTTCTAAACTGACAGAGAGCAACACAGGGAAATAGGGAGTATCCCTGAGCAAGTCAGCACAGTTAGCATATGAATAAACAACACATTTTTGAACAATACTTTGACAGTGTTAAAAATTCTTTCTTTTCACATCCTTTTATTTCCAGTGATTGATTTTGCAACAGATTTGTTCTTCAAATCTGATTTTTTTTTTTAATGGGGAAAATTTACAAGGGCTGATCCAGACTACTAACCAGACCTTCCTGTGGCAGACATTTAAAAACCACAGCAACAAAACCACCACCCTTCTATCTCCTATTGAAGGTCCATTTCACACTACACAAGCGGTGTGAGCTCTCTCCTCGGTGCCCTGATTCATGCATGCCACCATGATGCGTGGCAACACGCATGGCACTGCACGTGTCACAACGGCGGCATCAGCCTCCCCAAACAAGCAAGCAATCCCTTCACGCACCCAGCCTCTGCCAGCACAAACGCTGCTTGGCCTCCGCTGTCACAGGTGCGTGCAGCCTGCCCACAGGGAGCCCACCCGTGGCCTTCATTCCCTCCAGCGTTCCACTGAGCATGCCATCGCTGTCTCCAGGCCCAGCGTGACAGCACTAGGTCACTTTAATTCAGGCATGGGGATGTCACTGAGATGACTTCGTTTCTGCAGCACCCTCCACCATCTGCGCCAAGAGCCCTTCCAAATGAAGTGGCAGCAGGAGAGATGCAAGCTTCCCTGCCTTCTATTTGCCCCAGCAAATAAACACATGCAGACCTTACCTGCAACTGAGAGATTTAATTCCAAGCCAGAAGGGGAAAACCTCTTGGTCGTCTACATCTTTGTCTAGGTGTCTAAACAGAAACAGTAGATGCTCTCAGATACCAAATAGAAAAGGTTACAATCATCGCAGCACGGAAAGTAATGCCCAAGGGAGGCATGAAACATTCTGCTTGTTTTTCAAAGCTGAAAATGTGAGCAGCACTAGCATGCCTCTGAGGCCACGCTCCTTGGGAACTGGCAACCCTGGTGCATCATTACGAAAAAAACATCACCGCAAAACCCAAAAAACTTCAGATGGAGAGAAAGCAATCATTGTCATCTTGCCAAAACCACTCCTCAGCCATCTCTCAGAATTATTGATGGAACTAATCCAAAGAACAAGTGCTGGTTTTGTGAGCGTAAGGTTCCTACAGCTTAATAAGAAAATTCACCATCCTGTGCCCGCTGTCCTGCCTCACCAGCGCTGCAGAGGAGAGGATGCCCAGGAGGACCCATCCTCCCGATCCGGTCATCCATCCCCATGAGCCGAGCCCAGCCCTGCAGGCAGCAGCAGTTTGGCCTCTGCAGTGTCAGCAGGGGATGGGTATGGGCAACCCTGCGGTCCTTGTCCACAGGGAGTACAGAAGCACCGGAGCAGGTCAGTCCTGGAGGTGCAAGACCACAGCCGGGTGGACAGTCAGGCTGAGCAGCATGATGGTGGTTTGTCAGGGAGACCACAGATCAAAAGGCAATGTAAAAGTAGACACAATAACTCTTCACAGAAATACTTCAAAAATATTGTGGCCAGGTTCAGCCTCTGCATTTTCGCCATCCGTAATCTGTGACAGCTGAGCACTGCCTGTGTCTCCTGGCAAAAATAATTTATATAAGAATGGAACATTCTTCCTTTTTCCTCACAGGCTGAGCGTTTATCGAAGCCCCTGCTACACCCAAGCTAAGCTGTAGCCTACTTCTTGCAGGAAGAGCGAATCCCTGGTAGGGATGGTTACGAATGGGAGTGGGGAGAGGGGCAGGCACCGAATCCCAGCTCTGGCGGAAGGCAGCAGCACCAGTTTGGACCAGCACAAGTAAGCGAGGTATCTGGGGCACCACCTTACTGTTGCCTTGGCAGACAGACTACGCTCCCAGCCCTGAGATACCTCACTGAAGCAGAGATCGGTAGATGTTACAGGGTCTGAGGACAAGAAACACCCTTGTCTATGCAGGAGACCTCGCGCTAGCTCTCCTGTTCACATTTCTGCTGCCAACCCATTTTCAGCAGAGCTCAGCTGAAAAAACAAAGCGTACCCAGTATGCCCCTAAATGGTGGGGGAGTACTCCAGAGTGCCCATTAATGTACAGTTTAAACACTGCAAGAAACTTGAGAAGAAACAGCTGAAATGCCAAGGAGAGCAAATAAAGAGGGTAAGAGCTGGGTATCAGCTGTACTAGTGGGCAGTTCAAACAACCCATCAAACATTTAAAACAGCCTACCAGAAATCTACCCCAGTCTCACCTGCTACTTGCACCTTTTCTTCAGATAAGTTGTTCATTTCAGATTCTTTCAATATGCAAATGCAAAATGCACTGAATGAGCCCAGGAAGGCAGTGATTTTCACAAGCACAGCTTTTCTTACCTAACATTTTCATTGTCATAAATTCACAATTCTGCCTTGCTCTCCCCACGTCTTAAAAAAATTAAGACCTTCTTGATTTAAGGCACAATATATGGATCGGGAATAAAATAAGTGGGAGGAAAAGACGACAAAAGGTGCACAACAGGCATTATTATTAGAGTGACAGTGGATCTAGCCTGCATAAACACAGTCATTTCATTAAAAAGCAGCTGAGTGCATGCTGCAACTACTGGTTCAGGAAAACAAAACCAAAATAACTGATTTTTTTTTTACCATTAGCATACAATGGTAACTTTCTTGCTTCCTGAGTTTAGATCACATTTTCTTCCAACAAATATAGAAAAGGGTATAGAAGAAGAGACAAAATGCAGTTGCAAATTTAGTAGTGGACCTGTGTAATGTATTCACAGATCTCTCTGGAGGAAAACAATAGACCATGAGCACGTAGCTCAAAATGGCTGTCCTATACAGACGCCGTACTCCCTCCAGTATGCTTCAGCACTAAGAATGCTAACAGTTCGAAGGTCTGGAAAGCGGAAGGGCAAACACACGAGAAATGAGAATGGCAGGAGATGAGAAGTAACAAAGAACAAAAAATAACGGAGTGCTTAACCCAAAATTTCATTTTCTCTACTAAATATTGAGTATATGACAAATGTTATGCCAACTCTCACACAGTATGTTTATTTGTAGTCTTTGGTGACCTTGCTTTTCTTAACCAGCGAGAACTTCAATGGAGACTGAGATTAGTGCATATCCCAAATCCATTGTTTGTCCCAGACACAAATTTAAAATAAATGGAAATGAGCACAGCCTATGCAGAAAACTTGCTACTTCTATTTCTGCCTTTTGTGGAGATCATGTGAAGTTTTTATTTTTCTTCGTATCTGGAAACATAAAATGGTTTATTTGCATTTTCTATGAAAAACATAATTTGATTTTGAATCGAGTTTAATACAAGGCTGAGGATTAAGCACTATGCAAAATTCTCATCTTATATAACAAAACAAGCATTCCCAATCCAAACAACAACCTGGGACACCCATTTAAGTTACCAGCTCATGGAAATCACCGACTGCCAAAGCGTGAACCCCATTTTCCCATGGGTGAACAAATAATCACAATGGAATCAATAAATGTCACAAATCATCACTAGAATCCAGACCATGATTTCTTTTAGAAGGAAAAAACCCCAACTACTCCCCCTCCCCCCCCAATCACTACACATGTGCTGATTAGCAAGGTCGAAATAGGTGATTACATGCCACTTGACTACTGGGGAGTGGGCTGAGCTCTTCTTGCCGTGCCTGAAGGAATTAAGGCTTTGAGGTCTGACCGGTGATTCTAACCACCAATTTTCAATAAAATCACAGAAAAACAGTCTCATCTTCTGCCAGATCGGTCAAAATCAGTCAGCCAACTGAAATGTTATTACAAAAGATTTGCAGACGTGGCAATTGCAGTCCTTACGAAGTCGAAAATGAGAAGTCAGCTACCCCCATGCTCTGAAAGGCAGGCCGCGCAGAGATGTTCCTTTGCCTCTTCTGTGGAAAATCCCCCGGATCCCGACCAGGTTAGACTGAGATTACCAGAAGGCTGTAAGCAATCTCTACAGGGTAACTACAGACTAACAATTTTCCCTGAATATTACACGTACGAAAGACCCACTCCATCCCTACAAACCCACGTAACCGACTGAACTTGTGCCACCTTCACTAAGCACTTCCGTGCACAGTGCACTGACTTCTCACCACGCAGGTCTTTCTTTTGATACCTTATCAGGTGCAGGAAAATCTCCTAAATTCCTGTTTCAGCACCATTAAACCACCTTAACCTCGCTGGAGATTCTTCGGTGCTTGATAATTCAAGCAACTGCTTATGCCAAGGGATCCACACACATGTGATATCTGACTAGCTAACACGTGAACCGAGGGGGAAGAAAAGGCAACATAAGGTGCACAGCAGGCAATTAAATGTTGGTATCGCTGAAACAGCCTACAATTCTGCTACGCTTTTAAACTATTTGATAAGGTGCATGCTGGAAAATCAGAGTACCTTTATCTTTTTAGCCAGATGGTCTGAGTATATAAATCAATTTTATTGGAAATATATGCAAAGAAACTCAAGTCTTTATTAAAATTTAATGAATAATAAAAGGTACTTAAGAAAATGAAAGAGCAATTATATGAAAGGAGTTTTTAGTACTTCAGCGTAAGAGCAAACATTATACACAAACTAACAAACCAGTATCCCATGTCTTCAAATTAATCGAGTCACGTCCAACAGCACTGCCTAAGGGAAGAGCCAGTACACGCTTCACAGAATTCAAATACAAACCCTACACTTAAGCCCTGCAACTTGTCAGTACATTCCTGATAATATTTTGCTACCCAAAAAACAACTCGTATTTGTGCTAGCTCGCTAAAGCTGCCACATGCAATTTCAGTGGGATTCTATGTGACACCTTTAATTTCCCTTGCTTTCACTAACCTGTTCTCTTCCTGTATAAGGGCTCCAAATGCATCTGGTTGCATGTACTTTTCTTTAATTTCTGCATTCATGTCTGTTGCCTGCTGCAACTACTACCTCTGCAGCAGCAATACTTGCAATTAAGTGATTTTGGAAGAAGAGCCACTTCGCCTGCAAACTTCCCATTCCAAAAACCCTAATCGGAACAAGCCCCTTTAGATTGCAATTCCAGGCATGGGGGAAAGAATGGAGAATACATCAACACTTAAATATAGTCTCCTACAGCATACGAAAATAGCTTGGCTAGATATAAAAAAGGCCTTAAATGGTACATTACAACGGGCTGAAATAGAGCACAAGAAGACACGTTCGGGTTTACTAGAACAGATTACAGGTTAAGATTTATTTAAAGCTTACTGCTTTTGATCTTCTCCCAACAAATTGCATAAAACCCGGCAAGGCAGCAAGCTGGTGCGTGTGAGGTGAGTGCAGAAGGGCTTACGGGGACAGCTGGGTGAAAAACAGCGAGACAGGGCTCCCGAGTTTTACACAGAGGACGGCGCAAGTCGCGATGGCAGCTATCGCGTTTGCACCACCAGAGAGGACACCTCGCAGAGGAAGCGGGGCATCTCGAAGGCGAACCCGGGCAGCAGGTCCAGTGGGGCTTACAAACCCCTCAGAGGGAGCAGCAGCCCCGCGCGGTGGCCAGGGCAGGTCCGGCGCCTGGGCTGGCAGGGAGGCGGGGGAAGGGCTGCTGCTGCTCGGGCTCCTTCCCCGCCAGGCCCTTCGCTCGCCGCCGCCTCGGCAGCCCCCCCCGCGCGCGACCCGCCCGCCCCCGCCGCGCAC